TTATCCTTTTAGGGTTTTTCATAGCTCACTGGGGTCTACCTTATGCACAGAGTCCGAACTCAAAAGATTTTTTACACTTGCATATGTTCCCTCGTTAGTTGAGTGTGTGCAAGATTATTAGAATAGTTCTAAAAAACAAAAAACAGTGCTATTTAATAAACGTTCGAATACGAGTGAATATGAAAAAAAGGAAATTTTATATGACTTACAGAGTCATATAGAACGAAAGTACTTTCAGGTATCTTGTAATATGCTGTCGTGTTTAGAAACAGTTCGCTGCTCCTTGGATGTGAATCGAAAATTCTTTTGTGTATTTCGTTATCTCTATACATTTGAAGTGAGTCAGAATATTAGCTTGCTACTTTTTTACAAATTTTATTCTAAATAATTTCCGAGAACATTATCTAAGAGATATTTTCGTTTGTTACGATAATTTTTTAAGATGAATATAAAAAATGGAGTTAATATTTTGATAGGGCTATCATTATACTATCATGTTAAAATAGAAAATCAAATTTATTTCTATTTTCTCTGAAAAACTTTTTCATAAACATTTGCTAAAATTTTCGTTAATATTTTAGTAGGTAGCAGAAAAGTATTCGAAAATGAATTACCTTCAACATGGGAGCATTCCGTCGACAACAAAAAACGATTTCTAGTAGCAAATAATACACCTGAATTCAGATCAATTTCGAACAATTTTAAGCAAGCAATGAGTGGAAGATGCAGCCAAATAATAAAAATCGAACGTATTCAAAATGAAAGATGGTATATTCAATATTCTGCTCACAAAAAAGATTTCAGACAAAGACTAGGAACTGATACTGAGAAGTGTTTATACCACGGTTGTCCTGATGATGCAGCAAATTCTATTATTGACAGTTGCTTCGATAGAAATTATGCTGGTCAACACGGTAAGACTAATCTTTTCCTCGACAAATATCTGTTTTGAATACTTTATTTTCAGGAACTTTATATGGGTATGGTGTTTACTTTTCGTCAAATGCGGCCTACAGTCATGATTATACTAGTACGAATACAAGAGGTGAGCGATGCATGTTTGTTGTACGCGTCTTGATAGGTAAAGCGACACCCGGTAATGGAAAAATGAAAACTCGTCCTGTTGGATATGATTCAACGACTGGCGAAAATCATATTTTTGTTGTATATCATGATGCACAAGCTTATGCTGAGTATTTAATTACTTATAAATAAAACAGATGAATAATAACTATAATCCCTGCATAAAAAATTCTTAAGCAAAACTTCTGACTAAACGGAAAATAATAAAATCGACTGTGGGTATGGGCGTAGTAAGAAAGACTCACACCCACATCCTCAATTTCGTCATAAAATTCTTTTTAATTGCATTGACTTCCAGTTGTATGTCATGCTATCAGTTAGCACCAACAAAATAACAAAAGTTATGAGTTATTACTGAAAGAATTAAATGAGATGAAGTAATCGAACTAGCGTGTAGGTGTGGGTGTGGGTGCGGGTGTGGTTCGGTGTAGGTGTTGGGTGTGGATAGACGGCTGTTTCTGATAAGCACCTACAGTCCACACCCATACTCCCACCCCCATCCATAGACGAATGTGGGATATAGGTCAATTTGTATATGGAAATATATTATTAAGCTTTATATATTCCATTTTTTGCAAAATATCTCTGTTGCTTTCTATTATTTATGATGATTTTGTCTGAATTGAATAAAAAAAAAGAAAGAATACAAAATCTAGAAGTTTACCTCGTATTGTTTCCCATTGGAAAATAGTGTTGTTGTAAATCATTTGCTACTGAAGATAATTTTTGTATTTCATAGATTTTAAATCAATGAATGATAATATTAAACTATGAGAAAGTTTTTCTACTTCATTTCGTGCATCAATAAGAATTTCTTTCATTATTTTTGACATTGTTATTTTATCTCTAATAAAAGATAACCATT